CATTTTAAGGATGTCTCTGTTCTTAAAATGTCTCCAAATCGTAGAAGACTAATTCACTCTAGAATATTTGTCTACAGTTATGAGCAGTTACAGTTTTGACAGTTACAGTTATGACAGTTACAGTTATGACAGTTACAGTTTTACAGTTATACAGTTACGACAGTTACAGTTATAACAGTTACACAGTTATGACATTTACAGTTTTACAGTTAACTGTAACTGGTGCATGCCTAGATTTAAGCGTTTCATAGTAAGTAGAACAAACAAATCGTTAACGTCATTAATATATTAGAACGGTACAATCGTCGAATGTGGCACAGCACCGTCTTGATGATCGTTACACCATTTATGAAAATCGTAAACTGAGAAGATTCCAGGGCGATTCTGTCGACATTCTGTTTGAACTAATGATGTTAATTTAGTTGATGATACTGGTGTAGATGGATGATCAACTGAAACTGCCGCACGAATTTGAGCTTCTGTTAAGCCAATACCAACATATTTTGAAACAGATTGCCGTACTGGAGATGGTAAACGAGATGATTGGCTTCGATCGTCATGGTTGTGAACATCTCTAAACATCACCGTAATCGAGTTTGGATCGTCATCTGGAACACTTGCCTTGAGTTCATAACCATATAATGGATATTTACGATATTGAGAACATTTAAATGAATATTTTGTATGATCCTTAAGATTATTTGTTCGGTATTGACATACACCATGTGATTTAGCAACAGCTTTAACATCATCAAGTAAATTTACTAGACTTAATAGAATCCAGTTTGATACTGACATTTTTACAAATGAATAAACTTTAAGGGTATATATATATATATATAAGAAGAAGCAGAGAAGATATGGTGAAATTTGACTGATACTATGAAAGAAGAAGAGATGATGAAGTTTTACTGAGATTATGAACAAAAAAGAGATGATTAAATTTGATTGGTATAATGAATGAACAATGATATTATGAATATGAGGAAGTTTGACTAATATTATGAATGAAGAAGGGATGATGAAGTTTTAAAAGATTTGGTGATCAAAAGTTTCTTTTTTTAGTGATCATTTGTATCTAAAGGCGTTTGATGATCAAAAGTACATTTACTCTTATCTAATGGTATAAAATTTTAGTTTAAACTAAGTTTATTTAAACAACAAATCGAGCTATGCTCTTTACATGTTGTGACAATTTGATCAAAAGAGAAATACAGTTAAATTGGTAAAAAGAGAAGAGAAAAAATAGCTGATAATATATTAGAGAAAGAACAGCAAACTATTCTAGGACAAGGGAGAGTAAGTTCTAAGGACTCTTTTACCATATTAGAATGTTTTTATTCCAAGTACTCAATTTTAAGTATGAAAAATATCCTATATAGCAGTACCATCAGAGAAAAGTCGCTTTTTTCATAGAAATTAGTATAGCTATAGTTACAAATTGTAAGTTACATAAATTTAGCACAGGATTCATAAAAATGCTTTGGTTTTTTATGTAAAACCTGATTTTCTCATCAAATAACACTAATGTGATATTTGGTTTCAGTGCATAAAACTGCATCAAAAGGTATATAATTTGTTAGTTTTACAAACAAAATAATTTTCAACAGAGATTCAGGGTAAGGGGACCTCTCTAAGATTTTTCATCGAAAAGAAAATTTTTTTGAACTTGACTTCTCTTACTTCTATTAAAATTTAACACATAATAATACAATATTATGCGAAAACATCATTTTTTAACTCAAAAAATCAGATGCCCACCTGCTCTATGGAAAAATGCTCATTGTGCATATGTATTTACCTCACATACACCATATGTGTAGATGTTTATATTCAGCCCGACTTAGTCTCGTTCGCGTTTACTTTGTGAGTTTCTGAAAACAGACAGATCGAACAAATTTTTTCTGCAAGAATGCGTTCTCTTTTTGTTCTGTGCTAAAATGTAATGTTTTTTCGAAAAATGCTAAAGTGATAGTGAGAGGAACTATTGTACGCACGTCATATTCACTTCTCAATAAGTCTACTCAAAGTCAATCTGAGATTTTTCGCCTCTCATGCTCGTTCAAATGGCCTCTGCCGTTCCAAAAAAATATTGTTCTGTTCGAAAGTCATAACTGTGCAATATAGCCTGCATAGAGAGGCAAAACATCAAAAATGGATAAAAACTGAGGGTAAATTTTTTAGTAAAATTGCTATGACTTTTGAACGAAGAGTCGGATCGTGGTCTCTTTTTTCTACAAGAAGAATAAGATGGTTTATGGAGACAAAGGAATCGTTCGTTGCGATCTATCCAAACATTGTCTAGCTCTAGTCTTATACGGAAACGTAGCACGTCATACTTTAAAAGCTACGAATTTCAGGTTTTCATATTTCATCATTTCGAAAGATTAAATTTTTTCTAAAAATTTCACTTTTTTTTTTAATATTTTTTAATTATTAGTTTTAGGTTATCACAGGGTATCCACGGATGCCACAAGACTTTTGTTCTTTTTTGTGATATCCTGCTATTTAGTAAAATAAAATCTTATCTTACTTTGTTCTATGTCTCCAAAGTCCTTACTCGTCAGAACTATGATCCTTTGCTATCGTCATTACATTCATCTATCACATTTACTTTTGAACAAGAAAATTCAAATAAAATAGCATTTTTAGGTGTAATCGTTACATGGAGAAATACTAAATTTTTAACCACAGTTTATTGAAAACCGACGTTTACCGGATTGCTTACGAAATGCGATTTTTTTAGTTCCGGTTATGTATAGCAGAAATGCGATTAGTACAATGGTTTATCGAGCCATTAGAATTTGTGTACTATCGGGTTCTACATGAAAAATTAAATTCTATTAGAAAACTAACAAAACAAAACGGATATCCACTTTATTTGGTTGATAAAATTATAGGCAATCGGCAAAATTGTTCAATCAAAGAGAAAAAATCACACAAAGAAAATGAGAATGAGGGTAATAATGTCGACAGTGTTCAAATTACCGTTTTACCGTGAAATTAGCTTTATGTACGGGAAAAGGGTTCATGTTTTCATTTTCTGTCACAATTATTTGTACTGACCTGATAATAATCATAATAGATTGAAATATTGTCACAATATAAAAGAATATTGTCATTTCGCATTGTTCGATTAATAATAAAAAATTAGTTTTTCTATTAAAGTGTGTGCTTTCCATTTGAGTATCGATCATATATTTTCACTAAATTTGTGTCATTCTTACTTAACTTATGACAACATCTGTATTTGCGAATAGAAAAACTGAATCATATCTGTAAAGAGGGTATATCATTTTTCTCACAGTGATTGTGGAGATATATTGACATTCTTTGACTTTTTTACTTTTCTTATAAAACTAAGTATATTTAATATAATTGAAAAACATTTTTGTAAAATCATTTTACATAAATTATTAGCCTGCTAATGATACTGGGAAGTATCGGAAGCTCGCTTTTTATGTAAAATCATTTTACAAAAATGTTTTTCAATTATATTAAATATGATTGTGGAGACGAATTAAAAATACCTTCCATAGCACAGATTTCTGTACAGCTTGGAATAAAGAGAAACGTTTGATCGTGTTCTCTAGGTAGACAAGACTGCGGATGAAGATCGTAGGTGTGCTCCAAGATTATATAATTCGATGATATTTGTACATCCTAACTTGGAACGAGAAGAGTCAGAGTAGTTTTCTTTTGCAATGTTGGAGGTAAGAATCAAGAAGAGAAGTATTAATACAAAAAATATAAATAAGTTTACTGAACAGAACTTTGGCATTAGAAGAATTTTCAAGTGTCTGAGAGCAACTGTACAATTTAGTGACTTAAATCAAAGTCTATTTTTCCCGAACGTGTTTGTTCGATCTCAGTGAGTTTTCTCCTAAGACACGTTTCATGAGTGAATCGAATGTCTGTAAGCAGGTCTGTCAATTGCGAAAAGTAGATTTTGCTAAAAGTTACAGTAGTCGATTCAGCATGAACAACTGAGGTGACAAAATTTTTTTCACACTTATGAGCTCTTTAGCTTGAGAGGAATCAAGTTTTCCCAACATCCACGCCCAAAAAACCGTTTTATTATTCAAGCTTTAATTCAAGAAAATTTTGAAACTTCTTGACTTCTTTTTCAGAAACTCGCATTTTCCAGCTTCTTCTTCGCGAGAAATATCACAATTTAGCGTACAAATTTTACAACATATTGAATTTGTGTAAACTCACAAGAGTATTGTTAATCATTTATTTGAATTTGAAATTACGACAACAACAAACAGTATAATAATACGAAAGCGATAAGCATGAACAAATAAACAACTGAAAGGAATTGAATTTTTTCTTCCATATTCACCTTTGATGATATAATCGCTATTGTTTAAACTGACGAATAAAACGAATAAATAAAGATGTGTGATACGCCAAATATAATCTAAAATGTGGTAATAAGATTACACTTAAAATTTATCTAGGCAATGGAAATGGGAGACAACGGCTAAAATGCATAACTTTTGATGCTAGGGTTGTCCGTACAGAAAAGAAACAGATTATACAATACGTACTTTAAAAACTATTTCAACGGCGCTTGCCGTTTGTGATATCAACATCGTAGAGGATGCAGATAATGAATGACATTCTGGTGCCGTCAAAATTGTACCTAAAACGCCAAACATAGACACAAATAGAGAAGTGATAACAAAAAAAAATTTCGTAATATATTTACAAGCTGGTTGAACGTTAATACGATTACTATTCAGTGTAACGGCCGCATCCAGAGCAAACGCTGAGCCAAGAAGGGATGCATTTGTGTCGAAACCGATAGATGCTTGTGCCATAATAATGCCAACAAACTGACTATTTATACCCAGTGTTGCGCTACTTCCCACTTGCCAGTACACGCAGCCAGCCGTTGCACCATTTACTAAGAGAATCTGACTTCCACCGCTTGTTATTAATGTGCTTCCAATTTGAAAAACATAAATACCCGGACCAGTCAATGTCAAATTACCATTGGGTGCTTTCAGTGCAGCATCACTATCGAATTTATAAACACCCGGTGCCAATATTTGTCCGGCGATGTCCACACCCGTCATTCGTCTTGTCATTGCAAAACCGGCGGCTAAATGATAAGCTGTTTTTACATCAGACTTAGCCTTTGATGCAGTCTCATCCCCGAGATGGGATGAACCGTTCAAAAAGCCCGTATTAGCGCCTGGAATTTGACTGAAACCGGTTAAGGCAACACTTGGACTAATACCAAGATCACCAGTGACATTTGTTAAGCCCGTACTACTTACCGTACTACCAGCAAGAATCGCAAATCGTAAAGCACTGCCCGGTATTGGACAATTCGCTGCATTATTTATTACGATGGTCCAACACAAAATAGAATTAAAAATAAACAAAAATTTTAAAGACATGGTGCTTGTTTGTTACAGAAAAAAATGTATCGTGAATGACTGTCACCTCTGTTCTTATATATATCCGTTATCTTTTTATTGTCTGTACATGTAAAGAGTATAAATTTCCGTTTGCCATTTGGAAACTAATCATAACCTTTTATGTGTGGTGTAATGTTAAATGCCACCACTCTAGATCGTTTTACTGTCTTTAATAATCCACAGCGATAAAGGTAACGCTGTTGATAACGCATGAGAGAAAAAGAAAAACATGTAAGTTCATGCTTCGTTTTTATACATTTATCGAAATAAAGAGAATCGAGTACAAATAATGTTGAAGAATACTGTTTTTTTCTCTATAATTTATTTCTCTTTAGTTTTAGCAAGTAGTGTATAACTTAGATGCTCGACCTTCGTAATATTGACTATGAACTGGAATTAATTTAGTCTTTCTTTATAGAATCTCATGAATATTGCAAAAACACTCATATTTCACTTTTTCTATATAAAACTCCATTTTTCGTTTTAAGGCTGCCAGAAACCTGGTACAAGAAAAACGAGAATTGACGAAAACTAACTGGTAAAAAGAAAATTTTGAGATTATTGTTTGGAAAAGGGGAAATCATTCTTTTCCTCCAAACCAGAGCTAGACAAGTCCAAGTCAAGTTTGACTTGACTTGATAAATTTTTTTCGTGATTGCGACTGAACTCGAAAACTTTTTCAAGTCAACTCATATCTAGAAAGACATTTTCGCTTAAATTAGCCATTTTTTATCATGAAACAGAGTCTCTGAAGCTTTAAAAACTGTCTTTCACCCAAAACGAGCTAGCACATTTTATGTTCTGCTTGATTTTCAATCAGACTTGACTTGACTTGGAGGAAAAAGTTCGAGGGATGACTTGACTTGATTTTAAAATATTTTTAGTGACTTGAATTAATTTGTAACGTGGAGAACTTTTGTCTTGTCCAGCTTTGCTCAAAACGCTAACTTTCACACAGCCAATACCAAGATTTTCTATTTTTTTCCATCTATAACTACTTTAAAATGCATTTATTTGCTCTGAAATTTTTAGTCTTTTTTGGCATCCAGAAGCCACGTTTGTGCTGAAATAATCAGCTGAGAATATACTGTATTTTATAAGAAAAAGTTAAATTAAAGGATATTTCTAAAAATTCTAATAAAAATATAACAAAATTTATATTAATTAGACATTGTCGAGTTTCAATTGAAAAAGCTGACTAAACTACACATGTGCTAGCATATGCAAACAAGAAATAACTTGTTGTATACTTTCACCATGTACATGCGTACAATAAATTCAAAAAGGTATATGCTTGCACATACACACAAATAAATGTCGACATATACCATTGATCTGTCCTGACGGCTTGTCCACGTAACTCGAGACTTCGCTGATCAAGTTTTTGAAAAAATTATTTTAGAGTATAACTGAAAGGAGCATATCATTAGATGCAGTTTTGGACGCTGATTACGAATCCCACATTATTTTTTAAAAAAATGAAGTTTTGGCACCAAAAATCCAGTTTTACATTTTCTGAAAATGGTATTTTCAATTTTCGTACCTACATTGGCCCTATAATTCATTTATATTACTCTGTTGCATAATCATTATACCAGTGGCTTTCATTTTGATTATAAAACTGTTTTACGGAACGAACTGTAAAAATTGTTTTTCATTTTGTTTGCCGAGAGTTAATGCTATACATCCATGCTATCTGTCCTATTTGGATACCGGGATATTGGTCAAGTAAGATCAGAACAAGGTGGCCTCTTTCGCGTTCAATTTACTGTTTCACGAAGTTTGACAGCATAGCCTGTATTCCAGTTTCATAAATCACACAGGTAGGAAACTTATCATAAAATTTAGGAAACTTGGATGTTGAACTTTTTAACCCAGAAATTACATAAAAATGAAAAATTTTATGAAACTTATAAAAACTTTGATCAATATGTGATTTATGAAACTGAATTTATGAAGACAGAATAATCCAAATGGACGGTGGTCGCATCTGAACACCGTAAAATGAAGGGAGGGCACGGTTCGTAAACATTTAGAATTCTAGAGGACACACGGCAGAATCGAGAACATTAGGCAGTTGAAAGTTAAGCAGAACTTGTATAAAGAGTGGTAGGTTCGATCTGAACGTTACCAGAAAGAATGTTAAACTAGCGTGAGCAGTGTGTCATTTTAAATTTTAAAACAACTATGTTAAAAGTAGAACTGAATATGGAACTG